CGGTGTACAAATCATTGAGAAAACAAATGTTTAAATCGCAAACGCAGGACAGCAGAGATACATTTTTGATCTGTGTTTATTGTTTTTTGTTTAAACACTCTACAAATAATTGAATCTGTTAGTCCAGGCCAATCATATTTCTCACACGAGTAATTCATTGCCTGCAGTTGGGAATACAACTCGAAATGGCATCTAAATTAATTTAAATTGTCTCTGGCAGCATTTCTTCGCGTTCTTCCTCCAGTTAGTAGTCTCTTTATCCTGTTTATTTTAACAGGGAACTTCGCTGATCGTGGAAGAACCTCTTCTCTCTCTTCTTAATTTACAACTTACAACCATAACAATTCGTACAGCATTTCATGGACACTTCCCTTTAGCAGCATTTTTGTTCGTTTTTTGAGCGAATTCTTTTGATTTTTTGCACCGATATAAATGCTGCTTTCAGCGCCACAAAAAGGGAAGGCTAAATCCATAATTATTGTTGGATTTTAATCGATTTATGCAGAGAGAATCATTGCGAGAATCTTGAATGAAATATATGTTGATGTATAAATATGTTTACCTGATTCGTCGAAGCTTAACCAGGATTACTTTCAGCTGCTTTGTTTTCGCTCCTAAAGTGTACCCTATGAATGGGCTCAGCTCAGCTCATTGTTCTCTTACTTTGTTTACTGTCCACAAACCACAAAGGTCACCACAGCTCGTGGGCTGAGCATTGTGATCCTACTTGACAGCGGTCAAGGGTCAGGGCCAGACCACAGGTAGCAATTTCTAAACATTTACACGTGAACTTGTCTGCACTTTTCTTCTTTTTAAAATTGAATCGCTACAGCGAAATTGGTTGGTCGCAGGCCCTGAGCTCAGCATTTTCTATAACTTTGCATAGATCACAACTATCCGAGTCTGCAGCTTTGATCTTGAACCCAAAAGGGTTTGTCGTGTGTGTGTCCAGTTTATCTGGTTGTCTGTTTATCATTTTAATACTTTTGGCCTTTCATTTGCAACTGTTTTTTGGGTATTTCTGGAAAATACTACAGACTACATTCGTGCCCTTAGTTCAACATTGTAGCTTATAGTCCTCTGAATTACTGAATTACTTGTGTTTTAGAGTCCAGACAGTCCAACAGAGGTGGCAGAGAAGACCCTCCACAGCATCGCCCATTTTCTAACATTCCAACTGATAAGAAACTCATGATCCAGTCTGTGTACATTTTGGGAAACTTTTCACTATTCATTATCGTACTTAAGAAATTTAAGTTTACACAATTTTACGCACTGTTTAAGTGTACAAAAGCTAATTGCTACAATTTGCTATTTTGCTATTATGGAAACCAACTTTTGTCTCATCGTTCGAAGCATTTAACATTTCATGCGTAATTTCATCCAATCCTCCAGCTGCGAGATCTTCCACAGTGAATTCAGGACTATCTACTTCCACGCTTGTCTGCTGTTTGAATTTATGTTAATTTCTGTGGTTTCTTTTTGCAATTTAAATGGCACCAGCGGAGTGCCTTGCAGCATTTTTCGGTCAGAACAATCACTTGTCATTTTTTAGGTAAACAAGAACACGTGTTAAAAAATTGAACAAAATGTTAGAAAAGTGGCAGCTACTTCTCCAGCGTTCAGGCGAGTTACTCCGCCTGAGATGCGACAACTTTGGCACATTGAAGGACTTGCCTGCCACATTCGCCACTCATCAAACACCGACTGGCCATAAAGCAGCGCATCTGTTGCACCACTGGGCAGACCAAAATAGTTGTGCTGGCCAGGAGCGGCTCCAGCAGCAGGACAAACTAGGCAGGACAAGGCAGGTTCACTTGGGGGAGTGCGCATCGAGCCTGTTGCCACATAAACAGAACATTTTATTAGATTACACATTCGCTGCCGGATCCTACACATTGAGAGAGGGAGAGGGAGAGTGAGAGAAAAGTTATCAAGGCAGGCAGGCAGGCCTCGCTGCAACGAGTCCTAGCCAGAGTGCAAATATTTTACGACTCCCAGCGGATGTTTTGATACGTTTTTATGAGACGCGCGCGTGCTGTAAGCAATGGGCTAGGCGACTTCCGGCTCGGTCTAGGCTCGACCTGCCCTGCCGCTGGCCTACTGTCCTCTTATCGCACTGCTGAGCACTTGCTTGATGTTCTTAAATAGAAAAATATATTGTGTCTTGGCTTTTATTGCACTGCCAAGGAGCAAGATTGAAGCGATTGCCATGAAGTCGACATTGGCTTTCGGCACAGGCCCCACAACCCAATTCATTTCTGGGTAAACAAATTCATCAGCGCCGCCGGCAAACGAAATGGATGACATAAAAATGTAAAGCGAGAACAGACAGCCAGTGCAGGGTCCTGGGATCCGAAAAACTAAAGGCCCCTAAAAGTGGATGCAAGAATGTAAACTAAAAACTCCGCCAAGTATCCACACAACCTTTGGCAGTACTCCCAAAGATTCGTGCCCCAAACAAATCTTTTTGAATGAAACTTTGTTGGCTTATTGATATTTGATCCATCAGTTCGAAAATCCCTTTAGCCAAAATGCAAACTTGCTAGCTCAGCGGAAGGTTCTTTTCTTGGTGAATCTTTCGATAGGGTTCCAGGCTGCTCCAATAAAAAATGTCTAATTCAACTTAACTCTGGCATAAATCTCTGCGTCGATGGCTGACAAACGCTTCACTCCATCAGCTATTCAGGAGGCCCCAAGCTGGGGCTGGGGCTGGCACACTTCAGCAGTCATTTGGCTTGAAGTTGTAGGACTAACTAACTATGTGACCCGAGACCCATAACACATTCCTCTCTTTAAAAGTTGCTCAAACTTTGGCTCAAGCGCTCCTACATTATCCTCAGAGCCGGGAGCCGGGAGCCGGGAGCTTCCCCTGCTAACTGCCACTTTATCCATGGAGCATACTTTTCGGGCATGGCAAATGGCAGCGCTGATTTACTTTGCAATTACAGCCAACTGAGTGGTGGTGGGGCTGGCGCTGCCAAAGCGGAGACGTAGACGGCTTCGCCATTGAGAAGCAGTTGAGGGAGTGGTGCGGGGGGGGGGGGGGGGGGGGGGAGGGCGAATGGGGTTAAGGCAATGAACTAGAAAGCTGTCTGATTAGCGTGCAGCTCGGAAAAGTTTCTCCACTCACACTTACATTACACCACACACACACACACACACACCCCCACATCCGCATACCCACTCGTACACAGATTTATTGAGCCCACTGTCCGCGTCAATAATTTGCATGGGTTAAGAGCGGAGAGAGAGCGGACGGGCGAGAGAGATTGCGGGTGGAGCAGGTGCACAGATTCAAGCAAGGGTTAAGTCAACCTCATTCAAATTCCCCCCCTCCCCACTCGACCATGCCTGACATCCTGTGTCAATGGCCAAAGCTTTACCTGCATGCGTCTGTGTCTATGCAAGAGAGTTAGGGGGTAGAGAGTGGGAGAGAACGAAGGAGAGATTGTAAAAGCGTGTTAAAAAAAACTTTTCCCGTTCTTTTTTTTAGGTTCGCTAGCTGCTGCTGGGCTTTTTTCATACTACGCGACCTCAAAGGGTATACCAGATTTGATTGAAGACATGTCACCGACTGAAGAAATCAAAGGAAAGACGCAGCAAAGCGATAACCTGGAGCATTTCATTTACTTAAGAGACTTAAGAGACGCAGCAAAAAAATATTTGGGAGCTTTAAGTAGCGCCAGGAACGTTCTCTCGCGCTTCGATTTGCATGCAAAGAGTATCCCAATGGTCTGTGCCACTAGTGTCATTTGCTTTTTGATATTGTATTCTCGTCTTGCTGCCAAGCTGCAACGGTAACAACGACGAACGGTAACAACGGCGAACGGCAACCGGCAACGGGCAACCGGCAACAATAACAAGTCCAGTTCCAGCATTGACAACGGAGTGACAATAAATTGTTAAGTGTAAAAAGTTTATAGCATTCGACTGAGCGACTGATGGCAGCAGCGGCTGTGCAAACATATACTGGAGGATGTCTCAGCCCCACACCCGCGCACAACCTTAGAGCTTAGCGAAAAGTTAGAGATGGATGTAGGGTTTTTGCTTCTTCGGTTCTTCTACTTCTTCTGCAAACAACAAGCAGGTAGGCGGAAACCCGCTTGGAGCTGCACTCAAACAGGCGAAGCCCCAAAAGTGTAACCAAGATGAGTGGCGAGAGCGCAAAAATGAGTAAGAATGAGAGTGCACACATGCAAATGGGAGAGAGAGAGAGAGAGAGAGACATTGCCTAGACACTGTTCTCTGCTGGGCGATCCACAATGGACAAAGCAAACATCGGAGAGCGTGGCGGCAACAGGCGCGTCTTTGTGTGTGGCGAATATTGAGTTGAAATCTCAAGTGTGGAATAACAAATTGATTGATTTGTATTTCTTCATATTTTATACAAATATCAAGAGCAGAAAGAGTTATCTTTGGCCTCAAGTGAATTTCCTCTTTCATCACATTCCAGTGCCAAAAAAATGTATTGACAGAGTGACAGAGCGAATGTTGGCCCTGGCGCCCACTTCACATTCACATTCACATCCAACGCTGCTGGCCCTGTCAGTGTCCTGGCCTGCCCTGCCGCCACCTGATGGCTGATGATGAAGATTGATAATGTCCAACAGAAGTAAAGTGGGAGCGCAGCGCAGCGGGCAGGCTGCCCAGAGAGATGATGAGGTGCTAACGATGGTGACAACGACTGAGGGCAGGCGCGTCAACAGGCGTTTGATAAATCATGCATGCCAAGTACAGTGCACACCCTCGCCACCACCACCGACAGATTAAACAGAGAGCAAAGAAAGGGGAGGAGCAGCAGGAGACTGAAAGCAAGAATTAGATGGCGATAAGCAGTGAAGACCGCAGATGATGCAGCCAGCCAGCCAGCCAGCCACCCACTCTGCCTTTTGTCGCTCTAATCAGCCTTCAAATATAACCATAGCCGAAGAGCTCATGTTTTTATCTCTGCACCCAACACCCTCCCACCAACCGGGCCACTCAACGACTCATTTCCACTCGCGAAGAGCGAGTCAAAGTTGTCGCTGTCTCCGTCGCTGTCTCGCTGTTGTCTCTCTGTCGCCTTAGCCCAACGTCAATGTCCGCCCTCAGTTGCATTTTGTCAGCGGTTTCGTGACAAAGCTCCAAGCGGCTTGCACCACACTCCCGTCTTGAAACCCGACCAGCGTCACATCAATAGTTGTTTTTGTTTGTTGTGTGTGTTTGTGTGTGTGAGTGATCGGCAGAGGCAAACAAAATTGTAACCCAAAGGAAGGAAGATGGGCCAAGAGGATCAGGAGCTGCTAATACGTGGCAGCAGCAAGCACACCTCTGCCGAGCATTTGAACAATGTGAGTACGAGTCTCGACAATCGGGTCGATTGCAACATTCATTCATTGGTGAGGTTCGAGCTTGCGGCAGGCGTGAGAATAGCATACAAAAATATTCGACTAACCGCAATTGCGTAAACAACAAACCAGATTAAAAAGATAGACCCCAGACAACCAGATATTTGATAGTCCCTGCACACTTATTTTAATGGAAATTCCTGTGGATTAAAACCGGACATTTCAGTTGTTTAAATCAATCAGCACAAGGCTAAGCAAAGACAGGAACTAAAAGGTTTCAATCATGCAAAGATGATCAACCAAAGGTTTGAGTTTGATTCCTTCAAATTCTTACAAATTGTTCAGTATCAAAAAAGATCACTTCAATACTAACTTTCAATTATCTCAAATAAAATGTCAATATGAATATTTATTTATTGTTAAGCAACACCAAAGGGCAGGGCAGGGCGGGGCATGTATCTGTTCTTATGTAAATTTTGCACCCTTTCTGTTAATATAAAAACGAAATCATTTTGATTGCTTGACTACAAGCGTGTCATAAGAACATTCTTAGCCTAGTTTCAGTGGGGCAGAACACGCGAAGACTGGGGCCCGGATTAAACATAAGTCTCAAGATAGTGGAACAACATTGTTGGCTGTGGGGGGGGGGCTGTAAGATACCTTATCTGCAGCCAGATCTCATGAGTTATTTACTCTGTGTGATGTGTTGTGATGCGATGCTTGTGTGTGATATTCTATAATCTTGTCTTGTCTTATCTGGTTCATTATTTGAGCAGGCCTAGACCAGGCTTTGGGTTCAGCATCTGATACGAGTATCTTCTGGCATTTTGTATCTGTGTCTGTTTACTTGCCATGCAAATGGTTGAAAAGTTTTGAGCAAGTTGCTCCAGAGACAACAGGAAAAAGGTGGATAAGAGGCAGTGAATATCCGTGAAAAATTAGCTTGAAACATTTTCCCCGAAAAACATATTCTGGCAGCAACTTTTGTTCGAGGCCGAGTCGAGCCTCGGTATTCATCCAAGTGAATGACTTTTGAGTGCACTCATTAGCCACTCGACGAGCCCCTACACTCGAGGACAAAAGGAAGAGCCAAAAAAAGACAAAACAAATTGAGTCGCTTCTTCATTTAGTCATTTCAATTTGTCAAGTTCATCAAAAAACATTTTCTGTTGCGCCATCTGGGCATAGATGACAGAGAGAGAGAGAGAGAGAGAGAGAGTCCTTGTAGTCCTTTAGCTGGAGACATTCACACTCCCATTTACCACCCACTCACGAATTTCTTTCATAAGTAATTCAAAAATAGCACGCAAAGTAAAAAGTGAAAAGTAAAAGAAAATATTAAATAAATATGAAATGTAGCATCTTTTTTTGTTTGCTTGCCATCTTACCAGTAAAGAAAGAAAGAAAATAATATACCCAGATAAGACTTGAAGGGAGCACAGGGGCGGCGGCACAAGAAAAGAAAAACTTTTTAATAACATTTTTCGGCCTCATTTGTTGGGAAAACAATTTTGCCAGGTTTTCTGAGTCACCAAAGCGCCACCCACTCCTGCCCTGCTCTCTGCGAGTGCTTGTAACGGATATTAAATTTTTTTTCCGCGTTCACCTCGACGTCTAGCAATTTCTCAGCCAAAAGTCAGCCCCCCCCCCCAACACACACACTGGACAACACAGTGCGGACAGAGGTTGAAGATGAAGAATCAGAATCAGAATCAGAGGAACGTTGAGCTGGTTGGAGAGCTCTTTGGGCAGGTGGACGACATTATTTGTGCGGCTGAGCATACCCTTTCTCTGCAAGGAGTTGCATTGATGTCTAGCCACAAATACTTCCTCTCTGAGTTGGTGGATTTGAACATAGTTTTTGATTTACACACTTCGAGTGGCCAGTCGATAATTTATTTCATCATTTATATGGGAATATTTGTATTTAAAGCTTAAATATTTATTTGCATTATCAGTTTCGCGTTCGCTTAGCAACAAATTATGCGAGCGTACACAGGATTCGTGTGCACGAAATGAATTTATTTTTTAATTTGCTTTTGCATTGAATGTCAGCTTTTTATTTTGGCTCTCAGCACACGCTCTCCCCCTCGCTCGCCATCCCTCTGTTTTTTGGTAGTAGAAATCTTCCACCGTAGTTGGCATTTTTTGCTTAATTTTTTATGATTATTTATATAAAATTTGTACGTGCTGCGCTGTAGAGTGCGGAGGTATAAAATGTTTTCCATGTTGTGGCCATCATTTTTGTTTTTTTTTTTAATAATTTTGTTTGTTGTTGGTTTTGGCTGGACGCCAATTAGCGGATTCCTTGTTATTTATGCTCTGGCCGCAGGCCCTCGTGGAGAGGAAACCCCACAAGCAGCGGCAAATGGAAAACAGAAAATTGTTCATGAAAATGAAAATGAAAATGAAAAATGAAAAATGACAGCGGAGCTTGGAATGGGCCAGAAAACTGTATAGTAGTTGGTCCGAAACTCACCGCAAGAGCAACGTGGGTGAACCGTCTTCGGTTACCGCTTCGAAAGGGAAGCCCCACCTGGGACCCATGAAGGGAGCCACGGCCCAGACAATCGACAGCTGGCAGCATGGGTTTCGCTTGGTAGTAACCAATGACAGTCGGTCTATGGCTCGAGCTGTGGGAATAAACTGAGCATAAATACTGGAACTAATATTAAATGATTCATGGCAAAAAAGTGGGTTGCTCCTTGCATCAAACTGCACCTTTTCAAGCCTACTTTTCGTTGTTTTGTCTGGAAATAAATTATATAAATATTCAAGTTTTAGCTTCCGAGCAGCCACTTGCCCAAACGAAACCCAGAAGCTGTACTCCTTGAGCCGGTCAAGTGCGTGGCTTTGTCGAATGTCCTTAACGTTTTTATATTTAATAAAAACAAAGCTGACGCGGGGGCGGGGCTCAAAGTTCCTCGAACGCATGCCGAAGATGCTGGCGATTTACACTCACAATTGTCTTATGAAGTGGCAACATGGCGCGGCAAACCAATGCCAGCCCAGCGCCCTACAACCACCCCTCAAGGACGTTAGCCGGCTGCGGCTTATGGCTGCCCTAATTTGCACATTTTAAATAGGCGCCAAGGCTCGGGAACGGGCAAGGGCACGGGCACGGGCACGGGATCTTGAGCATTTTTATTAAACAGATGGGCCGCCGTCGTCGGTCCTTTTGGGTCGCTGGGACTGGGACTGGGACTGGGACTGGGTCGAGGACAGGGACTGGGGCATGGATTAGCCCGGCTAGCCAAGATTTATGCACAGACGCCTTCATTTTTATGGACGGACGCGTGAAATTGAAAAGTTTTGTGTTGCAAAACCTTTTTGCCAGCCACACTGCAAGAAAGTTGCCCGCTAAAAATATTTTAAATTCATTTGAAATGAATAAATAACATTTAAATGAAAAGTGTGCCCATTTTCTGTCAGTGTAGTGGCTGCCTTGCAGCCTTCTGCTTATCGTGCTGCTCCTTATTCAAGCAGCTCCTCCGCTTAACCATTGGCTGAACCTTTTTATTAATTTATTCACTCATCCCTCGACGGCCCAGCAGGGTGGGGATGGTGGCGCCTCGCAGAGCTGCATTAGCCAGGGACTTGGCCAGGCCAAGAACTATGGCACCCTGCGGCCACCGACGCCACCAGATGGCACTGCCAGCGGCCAACAGCCGGAGAATCTCACCTATGCCTGGCACAATCTGGATATCTTTGGGGCTGTCAATCAGCCCGGCTCCGGCTGGCGCCAGTTGGTCAATCGCACGCGCGGACTCTTTTGCAATGAGCGACACATACCAGCGCCGCGGAAGCATCTGCTCAAGAATGGTAAATAGATAGAGATGGAAGGATGGCACACAGAGAGAGAGAGAGAGAGAGAGCGATAAATATTTTGGCTACTCCTTCACAGTCTGCGGTGTGGCGTATCCGGGCGAGCTGCTGGCCGTTATGGGCAGCTCCGGGGCCGGCAAGACAACGCTGCTGAATGCTCTGGCATTTCGCTCGCCGCAGGGCATACAGGTGTCGCCATCGGGCATGCGAATGCTGAATGGACAGCCCGTGGATGCCAAGGAGATGCAGGCACGTTGCGCCTATGTGCAGCAGGACGATCTCTTCATTGGCTCGCTGACGGCACGCGAGCATCTGATATTTCAGGCCATGGTGCGCATGCCGCGGCAGCTCAGCTATCGACAGCGTGTGGCACGCGTCGATCAGGTCATCCAAGAGCTGTCGCTGAGCAAGTGCCAGAACACGATCATCGGGGTGCCCGGTCGCGTCAAGGGACTGTCGGGGGGTGAGCGCAAGCGTCTGGCATTCGCCTCGGAGGCCCTAACCGATCCGCCGCTTCTCATCTGCGATGAGCCCACCTCTGGCCTGGACTCCTTCACCGCCCACAGCGTCGTGCAGGTGCTCAAGAAGCTGTCGCAGAAGGGCAAAACCGTCATACTGACCATACATCAGCCATCGTCGGAGCTGTTCGAGCTCTTCGACAAGATCCTGCTAATGGCCGAGGGACGTGTAGCCTTTCTCGGCACACCCAGCGAAGCTGTCGACTTTTTCTCGTAGTAAGTAGACAAACCAATAGAACATTTTCATACACATTTATTCTCGTTTTGTGCGGCACTAGTCAGCTTTTGTTTGCATGAAATTGCAGCCATTTCAATTAATATTTATTACTTAATCATTTAACATCATTTAATCAGATTAATCACGGATGGAAACACGCGTTTTTGTCGTTTTTATTTGGTTAAAAGAAACGCCCACATGTTCAAACCAAAACAAAACGAGAAGGGACGTGTGAGGCGCTTCTTACGCGTCACAACTTTTATACCCGGCACTCAGTACTACATCTGCACCTTAGCGGTGTTTTGTCAAATTGAACATTTGTTCTTCATCTGTCATCTGTTATCTGCATCAACAACACCACTCACGCCAACACGCTGCTTTAGCTCGCCACCCTCCCCCAGAGGAAACGCTTCCTTCTGTGCGTTACATACAACCGTTATTCGCACCAATAAAATACTGCACTTTTGTCACCCATTTGTGGTAATTTGCATACAAATATTCTGTGAAATAATTCATCAATATTCTAACATTTTATTGTACGAATTAAACCTAAAGCTAAAATGGAAATACCCATATGGCCAGGGTTGCAGTGTTGCAAATTGTTCGATAACTTGGAACGATTTTTTGTATCAGAAAACAGCAAGCCACGTGACAAGAATAATCCCCAAACGCAATTACAATTGAAAAAGGCAGGAAACAAAATCAGAAACTAAGAAATGGATACAACGTTGGCAACAGAAATTGGTTTGAAAGATTGCTACGATCTGAACCGTAGCTGGAAGAAGTTGGATGCTTCGGACCACTCGAACGTTGACGGCTACCGCCTGATATCGTACAATTTGATGGCTCCTGATTTGGTAATGAAGACTAGCTGCAACTACAAGGAGATGGAGGAGCAGGCACTGAACTGGGGCAAGCGTTTGAGCAGAATCACGCAGGAGGTGCGAGCACTCAATCCGGATTTGCTCTGCCTGCAGGAGGTTAAGTGCGATAATTTGCTACAGATTATGCACCGCTTAAAGGAAACCCCGGGCCGCAGGTACACCTATATATTCCAGAAAAAATTGGGGAGCGCCTCCCATGGAATTGCCATCATCTTCGACATGCAGAGGTTTGAGCTGTGCTGCCACCAGGCCCTGAGACGTCCCATGGTGCAGCCAAATAAGCGTGGCAGCGATCGCTTCGGACTGCTGGGAAAATTCAATCTGAAGCCATCGAAGCCAACGGGTGAAGCCAAGAAGCTGGCTGTAGGCTGTGTCCAAATGACGCAGGGCAGTCCCCTGGGCATGGATGGTTGGCCAGATCTGGCGACTATGCTGCGTAACGAAATACTCGAGAGCAGTCGCGACAAAGCCGCCTTCGACTGCATTCCCATTATTGTTGCTGGAGATTTTAACCTCTCGCGCAGCTCGAAAGCATTTTCCACACTGACCAGGGAGTCCTTGTATGCGAGCTGTTCCAAGCAGCTGCTGCCCGTCCATCAAACCGAACAAATGCCCAGCCACGACCAGCAGAAGGGTTGGATCAGTGCCGATCACATGTTCTACTCGAAGGGATGTACACATCATGGCATACGCCTCTGCAGCTACTACACGTTGCCATTGGAGGCCGTGGGACAACTGGCTAACCAGTTACTTGGCTCGGATCACTTCTGTCTGGCCGTCAACTTTATTGTCGATTAACTGTGTAACTCCAAATGAATATACAAGAAAAATGTGGTCCACCAATAATTAATATCCGAAATTTGTTCACTTGATTCTCTTGGTTTTTGTGGGCTTCACCATTTATTTGTTGTTTATTATTTTTGAATTATTCAAATTCTTGATCTTTCAGTGTTGGGGCCCAATGTCCCACCAACTACAATCCGGCGGATTTTTATGTGCAGGTACTGGCGGTTGTACCGGGACGCGAGTCCGAGTCTCGGGATCGAATTGCCAAGATATGCGATAACTTTGCTGTGAGCAAAGTGGCCAGAGATATGGAACAGCTGCTGGCCACCAAGAATCTGGAACAGCCAATGGAACAGCCCGAGAATGGTTATACGTACAAGGCCACCTGGTTTATGCAATTTCGGGCAGTGCTCTGGCGCTCATGGCTATCCGTGCTGAAGGAACCGCTGCTGGTTAAAGTGCGACTCATCCAGACAACGGTAAGCGGAGGAGAAGGTGGAGAATGTCTCAGCGATTGTTAGCTTAATGTCTATATTTCCCCACAGATGGTGGCCATCCTCATTGGATTGATCTTTCTCGGCCAGCAGCTAACCCAAGTGGGCGTAATGAACATCAATGGCGCCATCTTTCTGTTCCTAACCAACATGACCTTCCAGAATGTTTTTGCCACCATCAATGTGAGTGGCAATAATCTGTAAGATCCTGTTTCTACGTTACACACTTGTATCCCTTTAGGTTTTCACATCCGAATTGCCGGTGTTTATGCGTGAGGCCCGAAGTCGTCTGTACAGATGTGATACGTACTTCCTGGGCAAGACCATAGCGGAGCTGCCGTTGTTCCTCACCGTTCCCCTGGTATTCACGGCGATTGCCTATCCTATGATTGGACTGAGGCCGGGCGTGCTGCACTTTTTCAATTGCCTGGCGCTGGTCACGTTGGTGGCCAATGTGTCAACATCTTTCGGCTATCTGATATCCTGTGCCAGCTCATCCACGTCTATGGCTCTGTCGGTGGGTCCACCCGTCATTATACCGTTCCTGCTGTTTGGCGGCTTCTTTCTGAACTCCGGCTCTGTGCCCGTCTATCTGAAGTGGCTGTCGTACCTGTCCTGGTTCCGGTACGCCAACGAGGGGCTGCTCATTAATCAGTGGGCCGACGTGGAGGCGGGTGAAATTAGTTGCACCTCCTCGAACACAACGTGCCCCAGCTCCGGCAAGGTCATTCTAGAGACTCTAAACTTTTCCGCTGAGGATTTGCCACTGGATTACGTGGGACTGGGCATCCTCATTGTTAGCTTTAGGGTATTGGCTTATCTGGCACTGAGACTGCGGGCCAGACGCAAGGAGTAGAGCCGAGATCATAGTTAATGAGGGTTTTTTTTTTTTGTATGCATGTATGAGTACTCGTACGTGTGTGAGTAATTATTATTATTATTATTATAATTATTGTATCCATTGTTTGGCCTACCCCCCAACCACCACCCCACAAAATAACTACATTTACTGTTACTTAGCTTGAAATACTTGAAAATAAAACATGCTTTTTTACTTAAAAACAAACAATTTCTTTTTTAAGATATCAAGCCACAGTAAAAGTAGTATTTAGCAAATAAACATTTAAACAGCGCGCTTAACTCGAACACACCACGAGTACCTAAAGTTCACCAAACGTGTCAAACTCAACACCATTATCTTGAAAATGTGGACGAAGCTCACCACCGCCACTCTCGCGCTCTGGCTCTCACGTCTTTCTTACTTACTCAGCCCGATTGGAGAAGCTCTCTTTGGTTCAGTTCGCGAGTGCAGTGTGGAGGTTCCACTTACCCATGAAGCAACTATAGAGGAGGGCTCGTCGTCGGCAGCGTTCCTATGGTCATTTCCCCCCGATCTCAGTGCTTCAGGCGCACACTCCATTGTCGTTTCACTCACACTTATAGCGAGAGCCCTTTCACTCGCACTTATTGACAGCATTGTTACGTTTCCCTCAAAAAAGACGGGCCCTCCTTTATAGTTGCTTCATGTACTTACCTATTCCTTACCTACCCTTATGCAGAGCGGACTACAATATTTTAATGTTTTGTTTAAGGGGAACCTTCAGAGAATACTATACTATAGAATACTATTTCTTAAGCAAACATTTTCAAGGTTTACGTAAGCATATCTTGCATATTAGGCGAACTAGTTCACAGCGGAGCAGCATACCTGTGGCGTTTACGCTCTCTGTCTGCTGCTTCTCTCATTCGCGCTCTCTCTCTCTCTCTCTCTGTCTGCCTCCCGCGCGCTGGCTGTTTGTGACCTTATGCGCCGTTCGTTCGTCGCTCTTACTCTCTCTGTGATTCCGTTTTATATTGTTGGCCGCCGCTGAGCGGTTTTTTTTTGGTGTATTTTTTGTTTGCAGAAGTATTTAAAACAAAAGTGCAACGGAAATAGTTAATAACAAAATATTAGTCGTCCGTCGGTGTAGTCGGTGTGCGGTCGGTCGGTTTGTTCGCCAGTCCACCACCCTCCTCCTCCTCATCCACTTCCACGCTAGCCACTAGTTTTGCTGAACAATTTATTTTTAAAGAAATAACCCGAAGAAACCATCAGTTGAAGCGGGGTGCAGAGCGAGACGCCAGCACAGAGCAGAGCAGTGAATAGTGCGGCGCGTTGCGGCATAACAAATATTTCTTTCTTTTTTTTCAAACTTTCAAGTGCAAATACAATTACTGTTGTTTTGTTCCTCACACAAACGTTGTGGCACAGTGTATGTGAGTGTCTGTGTATATGTATGCATGCGTAAGCAGCAATTAACCAAAAGGTGGAAAGAGTACTGCGCTACTAACAGAGCCATTAGTAGACGGCGTCGCACAACTAAATTGATTTTTCACCGGTCACCTAACCTCAAAAGCACCTGCCGGTGTTAAGGGGGGGGGTTCAGAAGCACAGCTGTTGCATACAACAAAACAACAAAACACTCACAACCGAATAACGTGGATAAAGGAGAAGACGAAAAATAAGAAGACACACAGACACAATATGGATATCGATTCACTGAAAAATGAATGGGAGGAACTCAACAAGGAGTTCACGGAGCTGGAGGTAAGTTAAATAAGAAGAGCCCAAGGTGTGTTGTTGTGTAGGGTGGAAGGGTCATTGCCACTCTTTTGAGCCTACATGTTTTGTTCTCCGTCTGTTATGCGACTGCTGGGCACAAACAAGATTTTACAGCCATTAAAAGAGAGGTCGCTGGGACAACCTCCAACCACCCCATATAAACACACCTTTGAGTGGAAAGAGAAGATTTTTGTTTGAGCAGTACATCTTTAAAGACAGACATCTGTACATATGCACATCATTTCAGTAGGCTTTTGCTTATGCTTAAATATTTGTGTGTAGATATGTATGTCTGTTGTATTGCCATGATGGCTTTCACCTTGACCAAACAGCTGCTTATAATTCACCACCTTTTCTCGCTCTCTCTCTCGCTCTTTCTCTGTCTCCCGCTCTCCATCTATTTTGGCGACAGAACTGCAACAGACGATACATCGAGCTGCTGGAGCAGCTGCACAGCCGCCAACAGATATGCTTCAATGAAATCAAGCATCAACGGTATCGCATGAACCAAATAACGGCATCATTAAGACAGTGAGTATTCCCTTGAAAAGCATTTCCTCTCTCAAATGTAACAGCGTTGTGGGATCTGCAAGACGAACAAATTCCTTCTTGCATGTTCGTTAAATGTTGTTGCCATGTTCAATTGGAATTTGACTTCAATCAATTAGAAGCCATTTCATTTCTAATCAGTCGCAGCGCCTAGCACTGCTGTCGCACACGCATTTCAGGCACTTCAGGCCCCGCCGCTTATCAGAAGGTGGGGAGCACACAAGTCTTACGGCAATTAGCCAGTTATCAGCTGGGGGTGGGCTCACTTTATCAGTGGGAGAAACGGGGGCTACAACAACAACAACAACAGCAATCCATGTACATTGCTGTACACAACACAGCGACTTTTACAACTGATTTCCCAAGTGATAAAAACTTCTGATAAAAAAACAGCGCCCTAGACTTTGCTCTGGCCTTTCTCAGGTGTTTTGCCCCACCCCTCATAGAAACCTGTCAGCAAACGCTGACAAGACGACTAGGTGGAGGAGAAACTTCGAGATGTATTTACTCGAACCGAAAACTGCCCAGCCAGCCAGCCAAGCAGCTGATTGACCGACCAACTGACCGACCGAACCGGCTGCCCTTGACCTCTGTCCAGCCAAGGCAAAATCACAGACACAGAGCCACAGCCACAGCCAAAAGCACAACACGCAAGCCAAGCAAAAGCAAAAGCACATTGACGCACAGTGTGACAAAGCAGTTGGCTTGTGGCATACAAAAAAATATCTCGAAAATATATGTACATGAAGCTGCTCGAATCAATATCTTAATGATAGTAAATAAAAATGAATAATATAAGGAAAAGGAATAAAATAATAAAATAAATAAAATAAAATAAAAAGTACGATAAATCAATTTAAGATACGATAAATTAACAAAAATTCATTCAAGTACATTTAGTAACGAATTAATGATTAAGCTCACCTTAAGGACACCTATGGAAGTGGATTCTACATCGTAGTCTGATTAAAATTATTTGCCATGCCATTTTTAATTGAGTTCTACGTTAGGGAAGAAATGCGAGAGAGTTTATTGAACCGTAGCGGTAGGTGCTGAGCGATTTATTTGTATTTCTGGCTTTGAATCGCATGCAAATTGGTTGCCGCTTCAATGCTCTTTTGACCCACTGTACATGGCATTGTTATTCCTAGCAGCGTATTTCCTTTTTTTGTTTGCTTGTTCCGTTCCGTCGCCCCTTTTACGCGTTGCGAAAAATGTTGCTCTGGCGCTCACCTACTGAGACACTTTTGCTCTCTCTCTCCCTCCATCTCTCTGGCGGCGGTGGCATCATTATTACATATTTACATATAATCATTGTAGGATACTGATGAAAAATCAGATTCTGTTTGGGGCATGTGTGTGCACAATCGCTAGTACGCTTTTGTGGATTTATATAAAATTGCTTATCGCGCGCGTTTAAGTGCCTTGTTTTTTGTTGATGGCTTCCCAGTCGCGTGTTCCACGTCACTTTGCAAACGTTTTGACCTCCTCAAAACTCACACAGAAATCAAATTATTTCTCTCTGATCTCTGGATTAATGCGTTTCGATGCTTTGGAAAACCCCCATAGCATTCACTTTGATTTCTCACTTCTAGCCATTTTTTTCCACTCCTAATTGAGCCACGCTTACATGCAACATTTGTTTACTGTTTGTTTGTTTTTGTTTTATTTATTTACTTTTTGCCTCTGAAGATATTTCCGAGTTAAAATGCAACCAAACCCACCATCTACCCAGCTGACCACCACTCATAGTTTGTTTATTGTTTATGTTTCTGGATGGCCTTTAAAATGTTATTATTGTGGGGAGGGAGGGACACGCGCGTTTCGTGTGCGATTTCAATGTATAAATTTTCAGTGTAGAATTCCCACACGCAATTATGTATGTAGCTTTTTGATATTTAAATGGCATTTAAAGTGCAAATTTAGGGAATATTTTTAAATGCTTATCTATAGTTTTAAAAAACTATTTTTAATTGCATGGAAATTTTCCTTATAATCTTTGAGAGACAGACAGATAGATTTAGATTATTGTCAAGTGAATTCGGTGATTATGTAGTGTGTGGATGGGAGTGTATGTAGTGGAAAAAGTCAAGAAAAGAGTAAGCAAATCGAGCGGAAACTAATATATAATCAGGCCATTGAGTCGGCACTTTTGTGGGTTTGGTACTATGGTCATACCATTAGTTCCCATATCTCTCTATTGATTCGATTCGTTTCAGTTGTGTGGCGTTATCCATGACTGGGCGGGGTATTAGCGGGTGTTTAAAAATAAAACATGAATTATACAAGCGATTGATAAATCGAACTGAACCCCAAAACACCGAACCACAAACCGTCCGCTTCAATGCCATAAATCTACCTTTGAAGCGGCCAATATGCGAGTAGTACGATGGTGGCACGATACATGCATGTGCCGCACTGTTAAACACACACACACAACCATCCACCACACCACCCACTTTGACTATCAATTATGTTTATCTAAATTGAACTTTGACGCTGAAAATTGCTCTATTCGATGGGGACAAACGGGATGGCAGACCCCGTACGAGCTGCGATTACGATTACGAGCTTCTGCATGTTGCTCTCTCTCTCTCTCTCTATCAATTTATCGTTTGATGTGAACAAATAATTATAGTCGAATTATTTACAAGGAAAAGCAAATCATGCATACGAACAAACGCTGTACTCAATCAATAAAACAATAAACATAAAGTACACACAAACATATTGGCCAAAGTCCAGTGTGTACGTTGGTTCTATGTTAATTTATTGAGGGGGTTGGTAGCGGCTACCGATTTATTGTCTAAAACGTAACTACAATTAAGTGCAACGATCCTTAAACAGATCAAAGTTATGTGTCCAGGCACGTTCAAGTAGGACTCATTTATGAGTCCAGTTTATGGTTGGCATTATGAAAGAATAGTTTGTTTGATTATCTGCACAAAGATTAGATATAACGACTGGTATTAAGTCCATTCAATTGTGTGCAAAATATTCTTTGGAACCATTCCTTATGCTAGACTTCTTACATTATATTTGATTTATTTCTTATTTACAGATTCAAGGGTCCTGTGGATGTTGAAGTTAAGGAGAAGGTGGATGAGCTGCAAAAGATGACCTTGAAGAGGAAGGCGCAATTGCACGAAATTGAACAATCTTTGCCAGCGAAATCGGGTCGCTATTTGCAGGTGAGCGAACCATGCCCCGTGTCCAGTGTCCCGTGCCCCCACGTGACTCACAAACACTGGTCCAAGAAGTCCAAAACTTTCCATCAAAAGAAAAACTAACAAACAAACGCAGGAAAAGAAGGAAATGTTAGGTGGAAAAAGTTGCTGCCAGGGCGACAATTTGCGCGGCTTGTTATGGACTTGACTCTCGGACACGACTTCTCGACTCCCTCAACTGTGGACTGTCGAGTGGAGTGGAGTTTGAGTCCAAGTTGAAGTTGACCCAACCCAGACTCATGCTCATCCAGTTGAATTTACTTCCATTTGCAGATAATCTTGGGCGATGTGAATGTCTCGATTCTCAACAGAAACGACAAAGTTCGCTACAAGGACGACTATGAAAAGTTTAAATTAATACTCAACGTAATTGGACTGATAATGGCGTTCTTCAATTTGATATTCAACTACAGGTAAGTGGGGGGCAAAGCCGAAAGAAAAGTAAAGCGAATAGTCCATCCATTTGCTCATCTGACATTCGCCTTTTTGTCGCATCTTTTTGCAGAGCCCTGGAGCTGGCGTTCATTTTCCTGCTGGTCTGGTACTACTGCACACTGACCATTCGCGAATCCATACTGAAGGTGAATGGATCTAGGATTAAAGGCTGGTGGCGTGCCCATCACTTTATCTCGACGGTGGCCGCCGGTGTGCTGCTGGTGTGGCCACAAGGCGAGCATTGGCAGATCTTCCGCATGCAGTTTATGTACTTTAATGTTTACATCAGTGAGTGGAATGGCACAGCCCCCCAAGAACCGCTCTCTCCAATATCTCCACTCTAAATCCTTGTGACAGGCATTGTGCAGTATCTACAATTTGGCTACCAAAAGGGTTTGCTCTATCGGCTAAAGGCGCTGGGTGAGCGCCATAACATGGACATTACCATTGAGGGCTTCCACTCGTGGATGTGGCGCGGTCTGAGCTTCCTGTTGCCGTTCCTCTTCATTGGCTATTGGTTTCAGGCCTACAATGCCTGGACCCTCTACAAGCTGGCATTTACGCCACCAGATGCACCCTGGCATGTGTCTGTGATGTCCGGTCTGTTTTTGCTACTCTTCGTTGGCAACATGGCCACCACGCTGTGGGTGGTGCCCGAGAAGATACGCGAGCGATCCAAGGAGCGTTATCGTCTGCTCAGCATGGGCAAATCCATGAAGTTGCGCAGAGAAGTGAAGGTAAATAGGGAGTGAATATTTTAAGATTTTTAAGCATATTTGTAGGCTAGTTGTACTCTTAATTTTAACCCCTATTTGTATCGCTTTTTACAGCAATTTGTATGCACTAATGCCGATGCCTGTTGGCACTTCCTCTCCCTTGCAGAATAGCGCTAGTGACATGGATCTGGCGAGCAGCGCCAACGGCGGCAGCACAACCCAAGCAGCAACCATGACGAAAACCCCATCCGAGTCGCAGCAGCCACCCGTCGACGAGAAGAAGGAAATTTAATCATCAACTCAACTCGTCTTGAACGTTACGAAACCCGGCATTTCAATCTATACAAACAAATCTTTATTTTCGATCTATTTTTTTTTCTTCGTATTTATTAATTTTTAGAACCTTTACCTCCCCCCTTCAAGCTATCGGTTAAAGCTTTTTGTTTTATTTTTCTGCTCCTTTTGAATTAATTAAATAGTTCTAATAAAATTGTACATTTGAAGAGAAATACTACGGAGTAGATAAGCGAAACCATTTGCATGCATATACTACATATACATTTACATATACATTTACATAACATACATGTAGAGAACAATTGATAGCAGATGTTTTTTCGCCTATTTGTAAGTTGATAGAATTTGATAAAAAAACACACACAAAAACTAAAAAAACAAAAAACTAAGAACAATTATTAAAAAATGGAATTCAACGATGAAAAATATAAAGGTTTTTTTTTTCTCTCTTTTTGCATATTTCTTTCTTTTTTTTACGGAAACAAAAGACAAATAAAAAATGCAAATAAAATCCAAAAATAAATTGTACAATTTTGTTAGCTTCATTGTGCGTGCGAACATTGCATGGCAGAGACGTAAAAATTAAAGTAAGTACTAGTATAATAAGTTAGTAATCATTCGATTGACGCAACCTTTTCCTTTTCCAACCTGAAATTAGTAACAAGGTGACGGATTCACCACAGTGCCTTCTGATTCGAGGCCCACCAGCTCATGGTGAAATTAGTAATAATCGTTTGCTATCCCTCTCTAGCGCTTGCCTCTCTGAGAGCTGAGAGAGCTGGTGCTCCTCCACTCAGCTGACGACGTCACCTTGTTAGTAATTCCACCATGCACTTGCCTCTCTGCGCGTGGTGAATAAGTTATTGCTGCTCTGCACAGCGGACAACGTCATCTTTCAAGTAAAGCTTAGCTTAGCTGATGTTCCTTGTACCTTGTTTCACTGGCGGCCATTAATGCGGTTCCTCGGCCAGCTACCCCGCCGCACACTCACTCCTGTGTGTGTCTGTGCAACAAAGGTTCCGTTGGCATCCTGCAATGCGGCAAAAAGCGGCGCGGTTTTTGCTGCTCCATTGCCAGCGCCCGCTACAACCGCAAAAGCCACACACAGAGGGCCTCCACCAGCCCTCGCTCGCTCGCTCTCTCACACTCTCTGTGTGTGTCCGGACACCCGTTCTGGCCATTTGCTTGTCTGCTGCGCTGCCGCAGCCTAATTTGGCGAGAGTTCATTAATTGCGTAAACGGCGAGCGCTTTTAATTATGTCGAACGTCGACGTCCGTCGCCCAGTGGGCTGATGGCTGGCGGCTGGTGGCTGGAACGAGCACTGGTGCTGGCAACTGGGCACTGGGTGAGGGTTTTTGGGTATTTTGTGCATTTGCGGCATTGTTTGCACACTTATGTAGCACCGACCGATCACCCGCCACCCATTGCCCAGGCTGCCTGTTTTTCTGCGGCAAATGGCAACAACGGAATTTACGACTTTTGGTCAACGCAGCCACAGAGACCATCAGAAAGGATGGCAAGCGAGCGTCCAAATGGACGTGGGGCGGATGTTAAGTCTCTCCTCTCTCTCTCTGGCTGTGTGTGTGTGTGGTGCAGAGCGGGGCTACGATTATCATTTATTGCAACCGCAGACCGACCGGCGTGGGCAAAAGTGTCGTGGAAATGCCATTGCCAGGGCGGGTAATTCGTTAATTTGATAAGCATACGCCACGCCCCCGCCAACCACGCAAGCTCCCCGCTCACCAACAAACAACTACGAAAAACAGCGCTGAAAAGCGCTGGAAAAACCAAAAATTAAAATGTATAGGCAAAAATCCAACAAACTGTTTGCCGTTGCAGGGACACTTTTAACAGTGATTTTACACAGTGGGCTGATTGAAAAGTTGTCACTTTTGGCCTGTATGGAAATTAATATTAAATCTCTTTTTTGGCAGTTTCGAAAAAATGCATTTTCGGGCATTCAATTTGTAAAAAAACATTTGTTGTCCTTCAATATGCTCTGACTTAGGAGACTTACTTGTTCTTTATTAAATATTTATTGCACCTTGGGATAAAGTCTACAATTGCTGCATTAAGGTGTGCCACAAAGTATATAAAAAAGAGTTTGCCTCTGGTGTGATGTGCCCTTCAGTGGCTACTTACTTACAAACTTACCCATGGTTCACCTTTTTACCCGCTTTAACCATATCATTGCCCGGCATGTGGTCTTCTGGGTACTATGACTCTTCGAACAGAATTGGCAATGGCCCCAACCCAGCCAGCCACATTGTCCGCCGCGCTGACAATTTTCCTCTTTCATCGCTGTCGTCATTGGCCAATAATTCAGAATTAATTTATGCTCGAAAAATTGCAAATGCTGATTTTTGATTTACGCTGCCATAAGTACAGCCGATGAGTAGCAATAATAAAAAAAAGCAACGTCAGAGTTGTGGAAAGTGAGGCAATTGTAGGGACTTTTCAACGACTTGAAAGCGTACAGAAAGAGGTTGGATAAAAGGGTTTTAGTTACGTTTTTTGTGGGGAAAATATTAAGGGAATATTAATTATATTTAGGTGTATTTTTTGGTGTACAATAAAGCGAAATCAGTTCTTTGTAGTTTAACGATTAAGAAGCATACGTTAACATCAGCATACAATTTGCAGTGTTTCAATCAGTGTTTGGCTTGGTACATAATTATGTGAATTGTGTAAACATTTGTGTTGATTTTTGTGTAGATCTCTCCCAGCTAGCCCTCATCATTGACGGGCCCGTCTTGGTCCATGTACGTCACAAAAGTGTGCCCCAATGTTGTCCACCAGCTGGGGATCAGCACCATGCACGGCCACGCACAGCGGACAATTGACTCTGGTGTTGTCGTCCTTGTGGTGGATCACTGAATGATCCACCAATTCGCTGGCCGAGTGGCCATGTTCGCCGCACACGGGACATGTGAAGCTGTCCGCATCCAGCGTTGGTATGGGCTCACCGGCAAACATCAGCTCCTTGGTGGGTATATCCATCAGGCACTGAAACGGATGACTAGCCCGATGCTCTGCCCCGGTGATAATCTTCTTCTCATGGCACTCCTCGCACAGATCGTACGACACGCAGCGCAAACACTTGAAGCGATATTTGGGCAGGTTGATGCGATTGCAGCCATCGCAGATCACATTCCAATACACGGCCGACATTCTGGCTTCAAGGGAGACTCGTTCTAGCCAGGAATATTGCTGTGCTGTGGGAGATGATGTTTGTTTTATCCGAAAGTTGTAAACTTTTTTTTCCTTACACTTTCGCTTCGATGCGTACAGCTTTCGGGGTGCTGGAAAAAAGTGAGATATAAAAGTGAAACTGTCGACTGCTAATATGACTACTAGACGTTGGGGAAAAACAAACGAAGTTCCTCACTGGCACGACAAAAGATTGACACTAAAATGAGATTAAAATTTAAAGCAGAGCGCAAGTCAAACTTAAAACACCAAAAATGTGTCCAAAAATCGCTGAATAAATATAAAAGAAATATTAGAATCAAGTCAGAATCCAATTAAAATGTTTTGTGACATACAAGATTGGATTTCAACAATTGAACAATACCAAAGAATACAAAATATTGAAATTAATTTGTAAATTAAAATTCGTGCACAATGGGACAATGCATTTAGGGCCTCGAACAATTGTTTGGCTAAGAGCCAAGCAGCCAAGCAGCCAAGCAGCCAAACAGTAAAGACATCAAAAAGGGGAATTTAATTTGCCAAACAAAAAAAAAACGCGCAACAACTTTCCAAGCATGGAACACAAAGGGAGCAGGCAGGAGCTGGTCCTGTAAGCAATGGCAAAAGGAAATCGAGCAATCAAATGAGCATAATAAGTTAATCAAGAACTTGCCCATGTCCAGGATCAATGGGGTCAGTACCGGCCTGGTCCGGTGCGGTACGGTTCGGTCCTTCTTCTTATGGTCCTTCCTTCCTTCCGCTTTCGCTTTCCTTTTTTTCTTTTTGTACGCCGACAAATTGAAATGCCCCGAAAAGAAGAGTGGTGGAGGGTGGAGGACACAAACAGGTTGACACACAAGCAAATAAATAAATGCACTCAACTATGTAATATGGACAACAGCTAGAGCCCCATGGTCAGACAATGTGTACCCACTACCCGCCCCTCCATCCTTTTGGGACAGTCTCAAATGTAGCGTGAAATCGTTAGTTTCGTTTTGGCCGGCCACCACGTAATCAGTTGCCTCTAGATGGCGCCCACAGACGGGCGGACAGACGGGTGGCGCTGATTTATAGCCGACACACGATTCTCAGCAGCCCACAATTTCTGGCAAACATTATGTGGAACGAACACAAGAGCTGTGGCAATTGAAAATGCTGGATCCACACGGGCTGCCGCACGGATCGCACCAAGCTGAACTTAACCGTAAAACGTTTGCTGTCTCCTTCTAGCGCGTGTCCAAGATGCATTCACTCCACCCAGCGCTTGTTCACCACAGCGTACAAAGTCACCTTAGAAGTAAATTCACCTTCGGAGTGAGTTGAGATTCGTTTAAGGAATAATTAAATGCTAAACGCGTTTTTTGCACGCTGAGTTTAATGTGAAAAAAAATATAGAAAATTAGTTTTGTGTTTTAAAAAATTGTAGGAAAATTTTGTTTTGTGTGTAAATCATAATACCAAACTTGTTTGTGTTTAAACAAATGAAGAACGCTTTTTTTTTGTGTTCAAAATGCCTCCAGTTAGGAGGGAGCTGCGCCAGCTCCAATGCCCTCATCCTTGTCAGATTCCTCGGCCACCGAAGCGTTGTCTTCGATTTTCGGATTGTCCGTTTTGTCCTTTGCTGTTGGATCTCCGACAACGGCCAAAAGAAACTGTGGGCCAATAAAGGCAAGGCAGCTAATGGGCGACTCCAAATAGTCATATGAACTGTGGAGAAGTTCCTTGGTGGTCGGTTCACTAAATGTGCCAACTTCGTCCTCCTCAGCCTCATCCTCACAGACGGTGCTGACGAGCAGCTGCAAGTCCCAGCAACTCAATTTATTATGACCGCTCACAGCCAGCGTATTGTTGTCCGTGTCAACGGCCATGGCACAAATGGGCGATGTGTGAAATTCGAGCTTGCGCAGCGAACGTCCAATGATCGCGTCCCAGACAATGATGCGAGCATCGTGGGACCCAGATATCAAGTAGGCGCCGCACTTGGAGTATGCCAGAGCGGTGATGCTGTCCCTGTGGCCACGAAAGACGCGCACCTGGCCGCTCCTGTACAGGTGCCAAATGCGCACAGTGCAGTCATCGGATCCTGTGGCCAGATAATGTCCGCTCTCATGGAACACGCAGACCTTCATGTCAGCCAAATGCCCCTTGCACTCGAGCATGGGCTGCCTGTTCTCGCCCCAGACACGTGCAATGCCATCGTTCGAGGCGGTGGCAAAGGTGAAGCCACGTGGGGCAAATGTCACGTAAGTGCACAGATGATCCGTGTATGTGGACAGACAATTCCACGAGTGGACGCACCACAGACGCATGGTCAAGTCCTGCGAGCAGCTGAGCATAAATCGATCGGAGGGCGCAAAGGCAATCGATGTCACTGGGCCGTCGTGGCGGTGGAGTACCAAGTCGCTCCTCCAGTGAGCAGTTTTCAGCCTCATCGGATCTATGCCTATGCAGATCTGGACATAGTTGTGGCTTGTGCCCACTGCCACCATCGACAGATCGTTCGATATGGTGGTGCACAGAGCCTTCGAGAAGCGCTGCCTCGTTTCAAACATAAATATCTTCGGCTGCTGGCTGCGATCAAGTGGAGAGTGGCGTGACATGGGCACCTTACTGTGCTCGAGGCTCTCCAGTTGTGGCTGCCCCGACAATTTCCACTCCTTGACCGGCATATCCTCGTTGTAGTTGCGGATGGCAAAATGGTCAAGCAACTTCGCCTGCTGCCCCAGCGTCCACTCTGCCACGCAATGAATGTACAAACAATATGTCGGATGGGCCATGGCCATCTCCACCTTGTCCACACTGGCAAGCAGCTCCAGTGCCCTTTCCGGCAGCTGATCGTACGAGCGTATGCGCCGCAGCTTCTCAATGCGTCGATTGTACGACCCGTCCAGATGCTTGGCCGCCTGCTCCAGAAAGCCAGTGGCTCGCTCCACCTGGTGACTGAATATCATTTGCATGTAGGCCATGGCCATCATGGGATACAGCAGCAAAAAGATTTCATACTTGTGTTTGTTGGGCACATCGCCAACGATCTTCAATGTGGCATAGAACGTCTGTTCGTACTCCTTCAAAATTGCCTCATCCTCAATGGCTTCGAAATAGACACCTTCGTCAGTGAGACTTATGATAATGGAGTTGCCATCGTAGAAGTCTTTGACATCTTCGATTAATTGTGTATTATGTGTCGGCAAGTGCTCGTTGGGGCTATGTGGGGACTCTACCTTTAGTTGGGTCTCCGAGGAATCTATGGACTCCAGAAACAGCTCTAGGGGCTGCAGTGTCTTAGTCTGTGGTGGCTGTGGCACACTCTCAATATTCTCCTTGTCCAGCTGGTTGCTCGTTTCGTTCACTCTTTCAGGCAGACTGGCATTCATGTCAATAATCACATTATTGATATCATGGAGAACTTTACGATAATCACGGTCAAAGCCAGATTTGTCTTCGGCAAGCTGCAGAATGAATTGCATTTTGCCATTAGACTTGGACTCGAATTTATTACTTATGCGGACTTACTTTTATCTCATTTGCATTATCATCTACAATGTTCTCCTTTGGCTGCTTCTGTTTGCGCCGATTTTTCTTATTGGATGTGGCTTTCTTCTTGTTATTTTTCATTTTAATTGTACAATTTCCACACAACTTTGGCAGGGCAAAAAAAAAACTCCACAACAATGGCGGCAGGGTTGCATTTTATGCGTAAGCGATATTAGTTGTGGTAAGTATCGATAGTTTAGTGCAAATTGAATTATAATAAAATGTAAAGAATAAACATCTTATTTTACCGATGTAGCTACATGTGCAGCGTTTCCATTTCATTTCAAATTTAATTTTTAATTGTTTTCAACTGTGTGAAGATGGTGGAACACTGGTTCAATTGTGACCGTGTGCAACACTGTATCCACCACGACTCCCCCCCCCCCCCCCCCCCCCCCCCCCCGCTCCTGACTCACATGGCGAAATCACAGTGTTGCATTCCAATCCCAATTACAATCACGGTTTCCGTCTGCAATCACTGCGTTTTCCCTATCACAGTTCAGCCATCGTCTGGCCCCGCCAACTGACCCATGAACCCGCCTGCCGACGACACGGTCATGCCAAATATCCTGCCCAACTTCCGGATGTGCTCCTACCCTGCGCTCCACCTCCACCACCATCACCGACTGCTGCCTCCCTGTCTTCTCAGCCCTTATTCCGCCACTCTCTTCTCTGGCATTTGCTTTGAATTATGTGCCGCATTAGCAGAGCCGTTGGCAGTGACTGCGGCGGTGCTTCTTGCAGCAGGAGATGAAATTGAAGCTGGAGCTTCTGCTGCTGCTGCTGCTGCTGCTGCTGAGTAAGCGTAGTGGTAGGTGTGTGGGTGTTGGTGTCGGGATCTGCCCAAGCGGAGGCGCTACGCCACGCCACGCCACGCCACGCCACGCTACGCCACGCCACGCACTCGCAAAACTTTAACTCAAATTGAATTATGCAGTCGCCCACAGATGTAGCAACGGAGACACAAAGGACGTGTGGCGTTGGCGTTGGCGTTGGCGTTGGCGTTGGCGATGGAGTGGAGAGATATGGAGAGTTGGGCGCCATTAGACAGTTCGCGGTGGACTGTGGGCGGTGGGATGTGGGCTGTGTTGACCTCCAGGCTCACTCGCCGGCTGACTTTGTCCAAATGTAACTGTAATTTATTGAAATTTGTTAGCGCCGCCACGAGCGCAGACACAAAATTCGCCGTAAAAGACCGCAGTGGTCGTCGTGGCCCGTGGCTGCAATGCATTCCCCTGCCGAAAAAAGTTTTAGTCACGTTTTTTGTCACGCCTTTGTTGCCCGTGCCCCGTACCCCGCCACCCACCGCCCCCTCAAATGGACAAGCAAAATTTGCGCCCGCGGTCAAGAGTCAGGCGGCGTCTATTTTTCCCTTTTTGTGCTACCCTCTCTCGGCATTATTTCATTTTGTCTCTTTTTTTGTTACCACTTTTTAGGTATTGATGCTGCTGTGGCACAGCCACACGCACCAGTGACAGCGCCCTGTGGCGCTTGTCGACAGTTGCCCAGCGCCACATACCCTACCATAGGAAGAGAGAGACATACGGGACAGCAGTGTCAACTTCTAGAAAGCTCTCAGCTCTCGGTGCTCAGCGCTCAGCGCTCAATGTGCGGTTTTGCGGTGCACCAGTGTCAGTGAATTGTTGTCGCAGCAGAGCAGGTAGCCGACGCGCGTAGGCTGTCCCATGGTGAAATTAGTAATGAGGTGACGACGCATCGTCCGCTGTGGTGGTGAGAGGCGATCGTGCACTTTGTCAAACTCGCTCTCTCGGCTCGCAGAGAGGTAAGCACTGCTGCGCTCCGTGTTTGTTGTTGTTTTCATGCATGCTGACAAACCGTGATGATGTGATGACGTCACCTTATTACTGCACGCCTTGCGCTGTCCCGTTATGTTTGGCGAAGCTCAGCCTTGCTTTATTGCGGTTGACTTGCGTTTATGGGCATAAATTGTTTTTATTTTCTATGCCATTTATGTACATATTACTCCTAATTGATTCCTTTACCTTTAAGTGCTCTCTGAAAGCTCATCAATGCATTCGGTCATCGGTGTGGGCGCTTCGCTTCGCTCTTCACTTTTAATTGCTGACAGGCCATGGTCATGAGCAACACCAATGCCAGCAGGACCAGCCATGCCTTAACCCTTTACTCCTGCCGTTCCCTTTTTTTTGTATAATTTTTTATTTTTTGTTACATACCGCCAAAAAGTTTGCCAGCTGCAACGTTTCGCGGTTGCATGCTAAAAAGTTTTAAGTGCCCCGCTCGACCAGGCACCACCGCCAGAAGGAGGAGGAGGGGACGGGGGAGGGTGAGGTCTGGTCGCCAGCGATCGACCACCTTTGCCTGGCAGCCTCCCAGCACCGAACTTCCACCCTCAAAACTGCAAACTCTGTCACCCTCTGTCTGTGGACCTGCTGGGATCTCCTTCCCCATACGCTTCAGTTTTTCTATTAAGCAGAGCCAGGCTCGTCTCATTTGTAGGCTATTTGTCCTCTGGACCCCACCTCTGCTCCGTCTCATTGCATCTCTTTCATTCTCAATTGCCCATCAGTCTCTCTCTCTCTCTCGCCCGCTCTCTTTATCTTTCTCCCTCACTCGCCCTTTTTTTTCTCATCTCGACATCGTAAAAATGCCAATGAGCCGACCTGAGCAAGCGGCGTTAAAAACTTTTCTCATTTATCAGACGACGGGGAGAGCCCTCCAGTCCCCAAAGCACCGCCATCCCACTCCACCACTTTACAGTGACTCCTGCTGCTGCTGCTGCTGCTGCTACTCCTCCACCACCAGCGCACATATCCCCTCGACTGGCGTCAGGTAAATTGATTGTCGCCGCCAACGAAGTTCGACGGTTGTTGGTCAACTCTTCTCACCCTCACCCTCACCATCACCTTAAAATCCCCTCCCCCCCTCCCCTCCCAAGGCGCCTTAAAGTTTTCGCACGCCCTGTGTTTAATTGCTGTACTTTTCCCCCATGCCTTTTGCACTACTTGGTGCCTGGTGCTCAGGTTTTCCCTTTTTTTAAAACGACAACAATGGCCAGCAAGTGGCAAAAGTTTTAGGGTCAGCAAGGGGGCAACGGGTCAGGGTGGTGGCAGCAGCCAGGGTTCAACTGCAGTTGAAGTTGAAGCCGGCTAATGGCCAGGCAAATGAGGCAACCGGACAGGCGGCTAATGAGGGGGATAGAAAATCATTTAAAAACAAAAGGCAAAATATTGCAACAAAAAAATATGTATATAAAAATATAAGACATATTTGGGGGTCAATATTAAGTGACTCAGGGCGCAGGGAGGAAACAGATTCAACTTAATGGAAAAACTAAATCCAACTGAATATTCTAAATCAGTTATTTGGCACCTGCCACACATCCCATCTCCTTTTCTGTTAACCCTTCTGCAGTCTCTCTGGCATCACCCATCGACTTGCGTTATCCACTTTCGGCGACCCATTTAAAGTCAGCGTTGCGTTGATTCTGCAAAAGGACTCCTGCGACTCAGCCAGCTGTCAGCAGGTGACTGCCCACACGGACAGGTGAAGTCGAGAACGTGCTGGAGCACACTCCCCGCTGACGGGCGATAACAGAAATTTCGTATTGCGCTTACATAAATTCTCAAAATACATATACATAAATGTAAATGACATGAGCGACTATGTACACACGGAAATATTTATTTGTATAATTATTCTTGGTTTTATTCAATTAGCCAGCCCCTGGATCTTACACAAAATCCTGAAGATCCTGACATCCTGTACTTGTACATATTTAATGATATTTTGATAAGCTTTTTGATAAATTGCGATTTTAATTATTAGAATTGCATTTTCGTGCTAAAATTATCCTTTTCTTGCCTTCACTAGCTGCTGCTTCTGTCTCTCTCCCTCTATTAGCTCCTTCTATCTCTGTTATTTTTGTTTTGTTTATTAATCAAAAATAAAACAATTCAACAGCCGATACAATTCTGGCCCTTAACTCAAATTTTCTCGTAAAAATAAGGCTCTAAATATTTATAATCTAGGATCCAAGCATCTAGCAGGGTATTTTCGCTTTTCCTCCTTACTGTTAGTTATTTTTTTCCTTGCTATCTTTTGGTTTCTAATGATGGCCACTTCAGTGTTTCCGCCATGGCAGGGTAGGGCAGGGCAGGGCTGGGCAGGAGCAGGAGCAGGAGCAGCAGCATCAAGAGACCTGCGACCTCCGTTCGTGTGGGCGTGGCTATGTGGGTTGGAGCTGGCGTGGATGTAGCTCGTAAATTTGTTAGTTTATTAGCGCAATTTCCGTTGCTAATTAATTTCCAGGCCACAGACACACACACACACACACACACACACACACACACACATGCACACACACTAAGATAAACAGCAAAGAAGAGCCACAGAAGAGACCAAAACATCTGGCTGTGCAGGCATTTTTGCTGTGGGGCTATACTAGAAATAAGTGACATGCAACTTGCAACTGGCAACTTGCCGCAAAGTGCGGCATCAAGGTGACTAGATGCAAGAGGCAAGCAAAAACAAAACAAACAAAAAAGGAAATGCTGCTGTGGTAGCAGGAAATGGAAGATCTTAAAGGTTTGCTGTGCATCACATTTCGTGCTGTGTATTACTTTATTTTTGGCAAACAATTTGCTACGTTTTGTAAGACTTTAGAATACACACAAAGGGATCTATGTATATTAACATACATACAATATATGTAGAACCTGTGTAGACTAGCACTAGCAAAGCGGGAGCACTGTTAACAGTTCAGCGCAACAGCCTCACTAGCAGCACTAGTGAGGCGACAGCACTGTTAACAGTCCAGCGCAACAGCCTCACTAGCAGCACTAGTGAGGGGACAGCACTGTTAACAGTTCAGCGTAACAGCCTGTTTCCCCTCCCCGCTAACAGTGTGTAATGTAACCGTCTAACAGCCTGTAGTGTCTACAGTGCTGTTAACGCACTCGTCTACAGTGCTGTAAGCGCTCTCCGACAGCGCCCTGACTGTAAGCTCGCTCTCTCGATCCACACGGCTCTCGTTCACTCTCATGATCTTTCTTTTCTTTTCTTTCGTTCGCAATTAGAAGTTCACCTCAGTAAGCTGCTTTCAGCG